AMCMRRAARGRWTYYWWTTWAAACTTGCGATTCAGTTGATGAACATTCCGCACRAGACAGGAAATKAMSTCAAGTGAAWYCATTMATTACGCGTACATTCCAAGGGATCTAGGACTTCCTTATTGGGGTGCTCACAATATTTCTGGTTTGTCTGCAAGGCAATTTCTTTTAATACGAAGATTTACGAGCTTTAAATTGCAAAGAGGAATACCAAAAATCCGACAATAAGATGGAAAAAATTGTCTCCGCTGCCAACATATTTACCGCATTTCATGGACATCTWRAAAAATATAATGCRTTTACCACTCCTGGRTGGATGGATTRAAGCCTAACAGGTTTTGAAASCCAATTGATGGCAGCCGATGGATCGAATTTGAATTTAGAAGTTGATTTTTGTGGAGGGAGTAAAACCTGAAGGACAGGAGGGAACCAACATACAACTCTACTCACATCCGACATCGGCTAGGTTATGTCCATACTTACAGTCAGGCTTTCCACAGCTGTACAGTKTGTTAACTCTTTTGTAGTCCAGTAAAGAGAGTCTGGTGTCATCGTTCCCCAGGTGAGAACAGTGTGATGATGTTATGGTCTCTTGTCCACTGGTTGCAGCAAATGCAGTGGATCTGTAGTGAAGAATGGAGTCACAGTCGTAAGGAAGTCCCTGGTTGACACTGTCACTTATTTTATCGAAATTGGGTCGAGCCGCTAAAAGAGAAAAAATAGTGCTCAATACTTTTAGCAAGGAAAATGATCGTAAACTCGCTTATCCACTTCTAACATGCGCAAACACCCACTCGCTAAATACTCCAGTACTGACTGCAGTTTCGAATTCTCTGCCCTACAAGGTTAGCCTCAACTTTGTGCAGAATGTTCATGCATTCCAAGGAGGATCCGTGGAATTCCAAAGTTCTCATAGATTATTGGTGSCTTTTAGAGATTAAAAAATCCCCCACCTGGACAGACTCGGCTACCTTTTAGGKGTCATTTTCGAAATATCTGAMGAGCATCCACTCTCTTTAATTAATATATTGGAGTACATGTACCTGGAGTACCCCACTGGAAATTCCCGCTACTTCCCTGAAAGAGAGGAAACTTACCTTCCTTGATTCTATCCGTGTGCACGGTGATATAGCTGTCTCTGTCCGGGCGGCACTGCTCGTGGAGAAAGCTTAGAATATGCATCATCTCATGCAGRACTTTTCCTTTCTTTCCAGAACAGCCACTTGACAGATCACAGGTCTGCATACCGATTTGCTGGTAACCGACCAAAGCATTGCAGCTTTGAAGTACAAA